ACTTTATGCTCATTTCCTGGCATAACAAACCCTTCGGGTTGTTTCATGTAGATTTCCTCTTCTAGTTCACCATTTAAGAAAGCTGTTTTTACATCCATTTGGTGAATCACAAGATTGTGTATAGCAGCTAGAGCAATTAACAGCCTAATGGTTGAAATTCTTGCAACAGGGGCATAGGTATCAAAGTAGTCAATTCCCTCTTTTTGTCTAAAGCCTTGTTTCACTAACCTTGCTTTAAACTTATCGATTGAACCGTCTACTTTCATCTTCTTCTTGAAGATCCACTTACATCCTAAAGGTTTGCATCCAGGAGGTAAGTTAGTTAATTTCCAAATGTTGTTATGCAAGATAGAGTCCATCTCATCTTGAATAGCCTCTTTCCAAAACGCCACGTCCCTTGAAGCCATAGCTTCATTATATGTTCTAGGATCGGCTTCAATATTATAACAATATTTATATTAAAATAAAATTTCATCCTTAGAACCTTCAATTAAATATAATTGAAAATCTGACCCAAAGGATTTGGCAACTCTATGTCTTTTGCTTCTCCTAATTTCCGCAGGAACGAAGGACTCATTAGTAGAAACTATGTCTCTACTAGAGTCCTCTTGGTTTGGTATAGATGAATCACCTAGAACCATATCTCTTGGTCTAGGTATTGATGAAAACCTATTTTCATCGAAGATTGCATCCCTTGACTCGATCACGGTGTTTACTCCCACCGAGTCATTAGATTCTATAACGTAGAATCTATAAGCCTTAGAATGCTAAGCATATCCAATAAAAATGCAATCAATGCCTTTTTCACCCAAGGTTCTCCTCTTAGGTTCTGGGAGTCTTACAACCGCCCTACAACCCCAAACTTTTAAATAATTCAAGTTTGGTGCCTTCCCATACCAAATTTCATAAGGGGTAATTTTGTTCCTTTTGTTAGGAACTCTATTTAACAAATAGCAGGCTGTTAACATAGCCTCTCCCCAAAATCCTTCACTCAAACCCGAGTAAGACAACATAGAGTTTACCATTTCTTTTAAGGTCCTATTCTTTCGCTCAGCTACACCATTTTGTTGTGGTGTATAGGGAGCAGTGGTCTCATGAATTATACCAACAGATTGAAAATAAACTGGATCAAAATATTCTCCTCCCCTATCTGTCCGAAGAGTTTTAACCAAGTTATTTTTATGCAATTCTACCTCGGTTTTGTACACTTTAAAAGTTCCCAATGCTTGATCCTTAGCATGTAAAAGATATACATAACAAAACCTAGAGGCATCATCTATAAAGGTGATCATGTATTTTTTATTTCCTATGGATGGAGTTGCATGAAAATCGCACAAGTCACTATGAACGAGTTCAAGTATACTAGAATCCCTTTTGATTTCTTTAAACGGTTTTCTAGTTATCTTGGTTAACATACATGTCTTACATTTGTCTTGGTTTATGTCAAAGGCAGGAATTAAGTTACTTTTGGACATATCTTGTAATCTTTTATAATGCACATGACCTAAACGAGCATGCCATAAAACAGATTTGTTTAAGGCNTCTAACAAACTCAATCGATATCACACCATTTTTGATCAAATTACGGATCATGATATGTCTAACACCCATGTGTCTAGACTTACCATTATAGACTTGGCTATATGCCTTAGCCAAAGTTGCAGCGCTGTCACATCTTATAGAAATTGGTGATATCGGTTTAGGCCACAATGGAATCTCATATACCAAATTTCTTAACCACTCAGCCTCTTTACCGGCCGATGCTAAAGCAATAAATTCAGATTCCATTGTCTATGTAGTGATGCAAGTTTGTTTCTTTGATCCCCATGATATTGCTCCTCCGCCTAGTAAGTAAACCCATCCACTAGTAGAGGAGAAATCTTCCATATTAGTGATCCAACTTGCATCCGAGTATCCTTCAAGAATTGGTGGATCTCCACTGTACACCAAACCATAATTCATAGTTTTCTTTAAGTACTTGAATACTCTCCGTATAGCTTGCCAATGGTGTGTACCAAAATTGCTAGTAAACCTACTAAGCTTTCCAACGGCATATGCTATATCCGGTCTTGTGCTAACCATGGCATACATTAAGCAACCAATAGCCCTTGAGTATTCAAGTTGAGACACGGCCTTTCCTTGATTGGCCAAAAGTTTAATGCCTGGATCCATAGGGGTGTTAACCGGAGAACAATTTTCAAAATTGAATTTCTTCAAAATTTTCTCAATGTAATGAGACTGTGTAATGCATATCTCATTGTTCACCCGTTTTATCCTAATGCCTAGGATTACTTCTGCCTCCCCTAGATCCTTCATGGAAAAATGTGATGACAAGAATTCTTTTGTTTTATTGACTTGATTTTGATCGGTTCCAAAAATCAACATGTCATCAACATATAGACAAATTATAACTCCTTTACCTGAAGTATCAAATTTGCTATAAACACACTTGTCTGCTTGGTTTAAAAGAAAGCCATTTGACAACACAACATCATCAAACTTTTGATGCCATTGTTTCGGTGCTTGTTTTAAGCCATATAGTGACTTCTCTAGCTTACATACTTTATGCTCATTTCCTGGCATAACAAACCCTTCGGGTTGTTTCATGTAGATTTCCTCTTCTAGTTCACCATTTAAGAAAGCTGTTTTTACATCCATTTGGTGAATCACAAGATTGTGTATAGCAGCTAGAGCAATTAACAGCCTAATGGTTGAAATTCTTGCAACAGGGGCATAGGTATCAAAGTAGTCAATTCCCTCTTTTTGTCTAAAGCCTTGT